ATGTTGTGAATGGCAGACTGGAAAAAGTAAAGAGAGAGCAACAAAGCCTGTTAGGCAAGAAAAATGGCATGAAACATTGTAGGATGGGGGATATGAAGACATACGCTTCTCTGGGGTTGGCACAGGGCAAAGGGCATTGATAAGGAAACTGCATGTTGAGTGTCTCCACACCACTTAATTAGTTTCTATCTGCCTGATTCTTGTGCCCTTGATAATTGGTGTTGAATATATTTGTGAGATGTGACTTGCCATCTAGACACTTGTACACTGTATGGCATTGGCAAAATCCCCACCTTTCTCTTCATCTCTGTCCCAGACCCCAGGACACTTACTGAAAGTAGTGATTAGGTAACCCCATCTGCCCACCAAAAGGTGGCTGAAGACTAATGAGGTGGCATGTGTGAAGAAAGTGACACATTAGAACAGGACAATGGCAATATAAATGTCACTCAGCACAGGAAACAAGATTTATTCCCCACCACCCAACCCTGTCCCATAATTGAATAATTCTTCTTAAAACACCTCAATTTCTAAACTGCTCTTTTTGTTTGTTTGTTTCTAGGAAGTGAGTAGCATAGAAAAGCCTTGAGACTTAAGCAGCAGCGAAAGAAGTGTCACCATCACAGACCACAACCACGGTTCTTGTTCTATTTCTTGTCTTTTTTTCTTTCTTACGGAGCCAACATTTATGTAGCAGAACACAAATAATATGCAAACACTGACTTACAGAAGGAGAGATGGTCTTTAGAGCATTTCTGAGATTGGGGAAGAATCAGGAAGGGATAGAGACATGGAGAAAGCCAGATTATAGACCAACATGCAGCTGTAATCTTCAAGGTTATTGGGTGCTGGGTGTATGAAGATAAAGACTGTGGATTGGTCATCTGTGGCCTTGAGAAAACTGCCTAACCTTTTTGGGCCTCAGTTTCCTAATTTGAAAAGTGAGAATAATAATGCTTATTCAATAAGAAACTTCAACTAGAGACTCTTGGAAAGTGGAAAGTGCCTTGAGTGAGCATTAGTTTAATAAATGGTTCTATTATTAAAAACAGTTGTATTTAGTATGTTACTTACTACTGTAGTGACTAAGTATACATACTATGTAGAAGTTTTATGCATGACCTACTTAAAGGAATTTAATTAGCATAAAATTATTTTTTATTTATAAGTATTTCAGAAAGCTTAACTATTATTAGATGTTCTCCTAAGAATTCTGGTCTGCCTTAAAAAAGTCCTTAAAACCTTTTCACATGTCTGAAGAGGAGTTGAGAGGAGGGGTCTTCATCAGTACCATTTCTAACAAGAATTATTGTGAGTGCTGAGTATCTAGGGCATCAGTCTCACTTTGGGGACCTTTGCAAGTGACTTATCTGGAAAGATGCTCAGATGGTCCCTTTGTTGACTGTGAGGAGGCATTTGCTTTCGCTTGACAGATCTGACTATAGACTGTCAGCCCTTTCCTGGATGAGAAGAGGAAACCTGGACCATGCCAACTGCTACCTGAAGCTCACACTCTGTGTTTTCAGTGAAGGCACAGTTGTATACCAGCTCCTTCTCTGAGCCCAGTCAAGCTTTGGGATGGAAGCAGCTTTCTTTCATGGGCATTGATTCTACTCTGCCTTATACTCTGGCATCTACTTCTGGTGGTCTCAGCGGTTGTTCATGAAACACAAGCCATAACCTCTAACAGTCGTCTGGGACTGTCATCAAGCTGAGGGAACATGTCAGAGCCCCCTTTCTCTAAGGCGAGTGCAGGGTGTGTGGCGCTAGAATTCTCCTTTTCCTGGGGCTCAACCAGGCGTTCTTGCTATTTTTAGATCACTGGCCAGTTTTGAATGTTGGTTCACTCCCGGGCGTGAATCCCTGTTTAACTTCTCAGGGGGCAGTGAAGGGCAGGGGCAAGCTCTAAGAGCCTACCTTCTCTCCCTCCAGGCATTCTGCTGCCTTGCTTAGAACAGGGTGGCGTTGGCATTACACTAACCTGTTGTCCTTGCCTGCTTCTCACCCAGGTGACTCAGAGCTGGAGCTTTAGGGGAGGATATGGCAAAAGGATGAGAAGAATGCAACACTGTATGAAAGCTTTGGCTGGGAGTCTTTAAGCTTACATCAATCCTGTGAGCACACACTTCGTGGTGGAATAAAAAAAGTGTTCTTAAGCAGAAGGGGAGGGGGACACAAAGCTACTCCACCCCTAGCCAAGAAGCTGTTTTCAACTGATACCTGCTGGGAAGGACAACAGTTTTCTCCACATGTGTGACACTGGGCATCTTGACCTCCCACCCCAGGGCAGCCCATGTTCAGGAGCAGTGGGCTAACACACAACGGACACCACTGTGTGTGTGTGTGTGTGTGTGTGTGTGTGTGTGTGTGTGTGTGTGTGTGTGCGGTTTGTGTTAGGGGGATGGGAAGGATCTTGGAAGAGTTGAGGGAGAGGAGAGAATATAGTACCTGATTTAAAAAAAAAAAACAGCAAATGAACGAAACAAAACCCTATCTTAAGCATGCTAAAGAATTTGGGGGCAGAAAGTGATTAAGATACATAGTGAAATCACACAGAAAGTTGTAGGTATAACTTGATTTTTTTTGTCTCTGACCCAAAGCATATATCCATTATTATATGCTAACATTTCCCAGTTTTGCTAACTATAAGTGTCAACAAGGCACTATATTGACAGAACATAAAATCAGAATCTCTAGGCTGGGAGCACATTGTTTAAGGGCACCCTGACAACCATGGCCATTTTGTTTTGTTGCAAGTTATAGGAGGACTTTGAAAAACACTGGTCTGGTAATAAACAAGGAGGAACTGGATTCTACAGTCATGCAATCATTCCTATTGCAAACTATGCACTTCCAAACAATATAAGGAAACTTCAGTCTGGATGAATGAATAATTTCTGCACACATGGTGACAAATGGATAGACTCTGAAACACCATAACCCTCTTTAGAAGGAGTGGTTATCATTGGTAACAGAAAGGCCACACAGACCTCTAGTGAGTTTACCTTCCCAGTTCTCAGTTCCCAGTGCTCAGCTCTTACTGGAAACCTTGTCCCCCCCCCCTTTTTTTGAGGCATAGTTTCTCTGTGTATCCCAAGCTCGTCCTGTAGTCCCAGTCTCCTTCTTCAGCCTCCCAAATTCCTCATTCCATAAAACACCTTTCTTTACCAATTTTTCTTCTTCACTAATGTTTGTCATTAGTCATATAGTATATCACACAGGACTTTGGTAGCACTCTAATTCCTTGCACCCCTGAGAAGCACACCTGTCTCCCTCCTAGACATCCCAGTGGCTTCATTTTTTGATTTCTCAGACTCTCTTTTAAGGCCTACCACACAGCAAGAATGAAGCAGATAAAATTCCCACTGACCCAATGAAGCAGTCAGTGTGTAGATGCCCTTCGAAGCATGGTAACACGTAACTTCTATTAGAAAGACTCATGCTCTTTGTCAAAGGGACTCCTTTAGAACGTTTTGGCCTTGAAGGCACCTGGAAAAGTATGGCTTTCTAATTCAGTGCCCCACAGTCTCCTGGTCACCCCTCTTAAACACTTGCAGAGTTCCTGATTTGGGAAGTCTAGGGTAGGATCTGGAAGTAGCAACTATAGCATATCTCCAGGGAACTGATATTGCTGGTCTGGGGACCACACTGTTAACTACTATGTCAGTATTTCTGATCATGAACAGGTCATGGGCAAGGAACAGACCCTACATTCTGACCTCTTACAAATGAGGTGACAGGCATGGAGAAAAGTCATTAGAAGCCAGGATAGTGTGAACTGTCTGCCTCAAAGATGTGCTTAGACTCTGAGAGCCTTAAAGTTCCCTTGAACAGTGAGGACACAGCCAGGCCAACATGCCAAAGAGAGGGGAATCCCTTCTGGGGAGTCACCAACTGCTTTGACTTGAGCTGTTGTGTATTACTTGAGATGAACCCTTTGTACCCATGTTGATCAGTAAGTGTCCAGTGTGGCTCGGTGAAGACTAGGTTCAAAAGGAGGTAATAGTTTTTTTTTCTCACATGCCCTCAAATGGTATTTGCAAAGGGATCATAATGACAATACATAGTGTAATAATGTAGTAATACAGTATAACAGCAAACATCATTAGCTCTAAACCTCTCTCTCTCTCCCACCACCTTCTTCTCTCCAAGTCACTAAATTGAAGGAGGACTAACAGTTGCTTAAAGTCCAAGGGGCAAGTCAGGAACATTGGGCTCTGCTCCAAGCTTTCCAAAAGACTGCATGGCTCAGGGATTTGTTTTCTAGCTTTCCAAGCATTGTAATGGTTAACATTGTCTTAGTGGTGACACCTATGGGTTCATCCAAAACTCAGCCTTGTAGAGTGATTGGATATTTGAGATACATTCATTACACACACACACACACACACACACACACACACACACACACACACACTCAATTCCTTTGAGTCTTTGGGAAAAAAATCAATGCACATTTCAGTCATTTTCTAAGTCACTTCAAAGGCATGCTGCAAATTCAAGGTCACATGATGCTGAGCTCTTATCCCTCACACCTAGTTCCCTACTCTTTAGCTCTTCTTGAGGTAATGTGCCAGCCCTTGGATGATAAATGAAGGAATCTCTTCCCACAGTTGGATTCAGGAATCAGCACCTATCATGGTCCCTGGATGTTCCGAGGCCCACACCCTCCCATTTTTTGCCTTTGCTTCAAGCCTCTACACACAGAAGCAAGCCCCATTTCATTCCCAGCCAACAAGTCATCGGCATGCACCACCCCCACACGTGGAGGCCGCTGCTCTCATTCACTCCCGTCCCTAGCAGCTTGTTTGAGATGCAGAACGAGGAGTTTCACCTGCTTGCATAGACCTGCCTTGCTGGCTTCACATAACAGAGGCGGATCACCCACAGGGCTCTCCAGAAATTCACAAAGAAAGGAAGAAAGACAGCTGGATGAGACAGGAACAGCCAGGGGACAAATGGAGGAGAAAGCAGCATGCAGAATCAGCTCAGTGACATACCTGGGGAAAAGTTGCAGGCGGGTCCCTCCTCCCCTTGGGCTTTCTTGCCCTGCAGGCTTCTGGCCCCATTGAGGAGTGTAGAACATGGCTTGTTATTTATTTATTTCCAGAGCTGGCAGGGTTGGCTTGCATTTCTATGCCTTCCTGTCAGAACCCTCTCAAGGAAACAGCAGCTGGTGAGCTCAGAAATGTCAGTCAGAATGTTGGCCTAGTTTGGGGCCTTGTAGATTCTCACAGAAAGTTAAAAAGGTTTCTGGGCCAGCGTCTCCTTTGGGTTTTCCCTTGCCTGCTTCTCACCTTTCCCAGCTATTTCTTTTCTTTTCTTTTCCTTCCCCCCCCCCCCACAAGGCGCCTGCTACTTAGATGGCCTGCTCCTGTCTTTTGGATGGCCCCTCTCGGGTAAAGCTGTGGCTCTCCTCCCTGCCCAGCTGAACAGCCTGGTGACTTTCTGACAGTTGCACGGCTATGCTTCTTAGTTCGTCTCCTTTCTGACTTCCTTCCCTGTCTCCGGGCTTGCTTCCTTCCACTCTTACCTCTGCAAGTGCTATCCTTCCTTCCAGTCACTCACAGAGAAAAAAGCACGGGGCTTCCTTTTCCCCACATGCCCTGTTCTCAGCGGCCTATCATTTAACCCTCCGTGCCCCGGGCCTGGCTCTCCTTCATTCCTCGCTGCTGTCATATGTTCTAGCTTTACCTCAGCTTCTGCTTTGTGTTCTGTCCATCCGTGTTCTGGGTTCAGGTTTGCCCTCCTCTGCTCTGCTCTGCTCTGCTCTGCTCTGCTCTGCTCTGCTCTGCTCTCCTCTGCTCTCCTCTCCTCTCCTCTCCTCTCCTCTCCTCTCCTCTCCTCTCCTCTTTCTTTTTCCCTTCCCCTCCTCTCCCGTTTTGCTCCCTTTCCCCCTGTCCAGTCTTCTTCCCGCTCCTCTGTCTCCACTCCCCTCTCTCCTTCCTCTATCTCTCTCCTCTCTTCAGTCAGTCTCACACTCTCCATCTCGCCTCTGCTTTTCCTGGGTGAGCTTCTTCGTTTTTGTACTTTCCAGCCCTCCCCCCCCCAGTTCACTCTCCCACCTGTTTGTGTCTTTTACAGGCCGTGGTCATGTCCCCGCCTTCTGTCCACCTCAATCACTCCAGTGACTGGCTTTGGAAAGCTGTTAAACTACACCTCTTCAGCTGTCCCATCGCAAAGAGGAATGTCCTTGGCTAAATCCTTTCTTTCAAATAGGCAAGTCCACATTAATGCTCCTATTTATAGAATGCACTAAAGAAGATGCATGGATTGTTTTATAGAGTAAGAATATATGTTTCAAAAATAAGCGAAACCTCATCTTTTAGTTTGCATCAATATATGCCACTTGAAATTCGGATTATTTTAGCTTCTCTGAAACTTCTTTTGCGTATTTATTTGAAGGAGAGATTTTTTTTGGCAGAAAATATAACTAGTTTGGGGAGTAGATGCTCAACAGCATGTAACTGGGGAGTGTTTGTCAGATGCCCTGTACCTTATTAGACACCAGACTTGGAAAGAAGCATCTGTGCCCTTGAGAGGCATCCTGATTCTTTTGGGGGATGGAAACTGAATCTAGGGAATTACATGTAATAGAACCCAACTGTAGACTGATGGTCCAGGGTGAGTAGGGCTGACATTCAAAGCTGGGGTTGGAAGCCAGACAGTCCGAGCTCCATGGGTAAGGGTGGGTTTCAGTTGAGGCACAGGGAGGGCTTGTGCACATGGACACAGTTGTGAGGGGGCTCTCTCAGAGGATGGAACAGCCTGGGCAAAGTCACAGAGACAGAGCATGCTGACCAAGTAGCCACTCTAGGGACATGGACATGGTAGGAGATGTCAAGCTTTTAAGAGTCCTTAGAGAGTAGGCACTCATTCGTAATCTTTATTTAAAAAGAACACTCTAGGTTATCATGGCATCTACAACATGAAGGAATATTAATTATAATATGGATTTACATGGTCTGAAATTTGTTGTTAACGAATAACCTCATAGAAGTAGACATTTCTCTCCAATCATCAAAGTATAACAATTATTTATCTTCAGCTCTGCTGTTATAAATGTAGAAATGTCTACTCTTACCTATTTCTAGTCTACTAGGGGTTCCATTTCTCTCATGCAGAATGCAATCTAGTCAAGATACCATACTGTTACCTCAGATTCCAACCTACCTACATCATGCATTTGTTATGAGTCTATCTATGTATGCTTTAACATGCTACAATACTGCCTTCAAATCCACTTTATACAGTTTAAGTAAGTCTAGATGTATACTGATTTTGATTTCTTTGTTTCCCCTTTTGTTTCTAACATGATGCATAGCATACATCAGGCTCCCAGTAAATGCTTAAGGTCAAATCGGATCAAAAATTTTCTATAATGTTACTACAACATATAACCCCAATAGGAACTCAATCAATAGGACAATACCTCTTTAAAACACACCCACCTACTAGTTCTTCTGAGATTTAGTCAGAATCAAAAGAAGGAGTTGATATTAATTTAATAACATGGCTCTATGTAAGCTTATGTTTCACATTTAAAGCCAAAAGTGAGCCTTCAGGACTACCTGAGGTGGATAAGTCAGAGAGATGTTGATACTGAGATTTGGAAGACAAGATGTGAAAGCCACTTAGCAGCAAGGGGCTTGCTGAATGCACAGAACTCATTCTGGGTTAAGGGCTTAGTTCTCCTAATCAGCTTTGCTTTTTTCAAACATCAGTATCAGCTTTTTTTTTTTTAAAAACATCAGTAGGTTTTAGGGGAGAAACCCCAATTTTTCCAGTTGAAGAATGATGGCTGCTTTTCCTACAGTCTTAAATAATTTTGTTTTAAATGATGTAGGTTCTGAGGTGAAGATGTGAAGGCTGGGGTGGTGCTCTTCCTGAATTTTCCCTAGTGAGAGTTCTTTCCCTTAGGACAGCCAAGAAACCAGGTAAAATTAGAGCCAGTCTCAAAGACAACCCCACTCAGTTACCTCCTTTAGAGTATGAAGAAACCAAGACCAAATGGGACATTCCCTTGGTCCTAGAACCAGTGTCTCTTGATCCCCAAATCTCATGATTGCTAAGTAAAGGTGCCTTGAAGGACATTTTTACTTCCCTAGTCATCACTGAGAAACAGTGGTCATGAAGAAAGCATCTGGGAGGGGATCTATTCACCTCTTCAAGCTCTTCAGTAGTAAGTGGAAACTGGGCTGGGGGAAGAAGCTTCAGCTGTCGGACACTGTCTTGATCTTTGTAGCAGGCTCAGCTGCCGAATTTCATAGGGGTGACAATAATGATACTAATGAAATCATAGGATGGTAATAATAAATCCTTTGAGATGCTGCCAGACCTGCGCACTGCGGGCTTCAGATGCCAGTGGACAGCTGCTTGGCTAAATGTGGTCCCCAGTTGTCAAGGAGAGACCCACCCTGTTACAGGAGAAACAAATCAACAAGATGTACAAGACACATGGGGACAGAGGCATACGGAGTTGAGGGAGTCAAGTTAGACCTTGTCTCTGTCCTTACAGAGTTAGCCATTGCAAATGTGTTCAGAACTTCAAATTCGACACAGGTGTGTGTGACTCCATGCGTTGGCTCCAATGAATTGGGCATCAAATAATATGTCATGTGCCTTAGGTGATTATCTTGATTCTAGCCAAATAATTGACAGTTGTCAGACTCCAGTAACTGTAGTGGTAGCAATAAATTGTGATCCCCCCAAGATAATTTAGTTTCCTTAAATCTAGAACAAAGGACTTTGGTGTCTACCATATGCTTGCCAGAAAACGGATGATTTATTTTTTTTTACCTTAAATTCTTCTTCTAAAATGTAGAGGTAATAAAAAAATTTAATGTGATGGCCTCTCCAGTAGGCTTGTTTGTTGGAGTAAGGAAGTACCTTATTTTGTTTCCAATTTGATTAAATTGCCCCTTGCAGGGTTAGCCTCCATCGTGTGTTGCAGAGGGCAGAGCAACCTTGGTTTGATAAAGGTAGATTCAGTAGTGGTGGAGTTTGCCCAAGGGTGTAGTGGCCTCACTTGCAAACAATAACTGTAATTCTGGAGTTTCCTTTTGCAGCAAGGACTTTGAGCCTTAGAATCAAAGTGTGTGTGTGTATGTGTGTGTATTTGTATGGGCATGTATGCGTATGTATGTTCATATATATGTATGTGTTTGTATGTATTTATATGTGTGTATATGCAGGTGCATGTATATGTGTACATGTATGTGTATGTACATTTATAATGCACATTTGGAATGAAACCATAACTGGCATCAAAACCCAGCAGACATTTGGTTCCTGATTCATGATGTTTGATCAAGTGAGATCAAAAGACATGACTGTGAGACATATCTGCTAGCCTAATTTGAGACAAGGTGTCTTCAAAACCCCAGTGCGATAGGAGACCCTGGGGATGGCAAAACTGTGAAATCTTCAATACCATGTGTGGTCCAGGAACTTAGACATGAGGTATTTTGAGCGATTTCCAGTAGGAATCAGTTTAGAAGCAGGCCAAAGGGGAATCGCTTGCAACTGTTTGGGAAATAGACGTAAAGAATGGAAACCTCATTTTGCTAAGTGTGCCCTCAGATGAGCACGAAAGCTACCCCAATTCTTAAGCTTTCCTTACCCCCTTTTCCTCTTCCTCTTTTTCTGTTAACATGTGATGCTGTTAGGAATTTAAAAGACATTGGAAGGTGAGTTAATTCTCTTTAGTTTACCATGCTAAAATGAAATTGATTACTAGTCATGCAATGCACTTGTTCAATGTAACAAAGCACATGCAATTTCAAGATGGTTTTTAGTTAGATATAAGGGGAGCTAAGTTTATAAGGTCCCTAGCTTGAGACAGCTTCATGCTTTCACAGTTCTTGATTACTCTTTACAAAACTGTTCATGTTTCATAGAGGTGCTAAACTCAGTTGGGAGTAGGGGGGTTGTCTTGTCTTTCCAATTCTGTTGCAATTTTGCAGATCACTATCTTTAGAAATGTAGAATATATCTTATTTGTATACCATTTAAATGTATTTTTAAACTGATTATATTTTTAAATTGTGATTATTCAAATGACTTAATTTCTGGTATGTTGTAAATATTGATGCCTATGGCTCAAATATTACACCATGCTGTTGTGTAATATACTTTAACTATGTAATATGTAACACTTGTTTATATGGCATTTGTTTAATTATGTAAAGATGTGTTGCTTTTACTTATGCTTGTATTTGTTTAATCATGTAAAGATGTGTTGCTGTTTCACCTTGCCTGCTTAAGGCACCTGATTGGTCTAAGAACAAGCTGAGTGACCAATAACTAGGCAGTAGAGGGAGATGTGGAGCTGGTAGGCAGAAAGAATAAGTAGGAGGAAAGATGAGAAGGAGAGGAAGAGAATGAAAGGAAGACACCTGGGGCCAGCCAGCCAGGCAGCTGCCAACTACCCAGACATAGAGTAGGACATACAGAAAGAAAGAAAAGAAAGGAAGGAAGAAAGAAAGAAAGAAAGGAAGGAAGGAAGGCAAAAAGGCTGAGGCAGAAATAGATGAAAAGAAACAGGTTAATTTCAGTTTTAAAAGCTGGTGAGACAAACATAAGCCAAGCATTTATAACTAATAATAAGTCTCCATGTCATGATTTGGGAGCTGGTTAGTGGCCCCAAAGAAAGCCTACTGCATCATTCTTCAAAGTGCATTCATTATTATCCAATTAAAGGAAACTTGACACTCTTAGTCACTAATCATGGGAATTTGCAATATATTTTGAGTATGTGTGTATAGTGTATGTGCATGCATATGACATGTATATGGGCACACATGCATGTATGGGTGTA